TAATCAAAAATAAAAATTATAAAAAATATTGATTAAAAAAATGATGTTATAAAGACAATTTTTTTATATTACTTTTTTATATAACTTTTATATATCATTAAATGAGTGAATACATTTAATATCACGGGTTCTACATAAATTTAAAAAATTAATTATTTTTATGACATGTCAAGTTATACAAAAAAGTTGTAAAAAAAATTATACAAAAATCATTTTCCAAAAAAAAATATATATAAAAGGTATAGATAAAAAATTTAACCTGAACAATAATTATAATGTAATACTAAACATACATATATAATACCTTACATGTTTATCAAAATAAAAAAAATTATATAATAATATATTATAATCATAAATTTATAACATCGAACATTACATTTTATTTATTATGCATTTGCCGCTTATTAGTGGCACATGACTTGTGCGAGAGGACATTTTGAAAATTTTAAGAGGATGGAAACTAATCAGTATATATATCTAATTAAAAAAGGAGTTTGTTTAAAAGTCTAACAACGATTCAATTCAACTGTAGCATTCAATAATTTGAATAACTAAAAAAACTTTGGATGTGCAAAAATGAAACTATGGCCGAACTGCATTTCCTAAACTGAATTTGGTTCAACCACCAAAATCTTTTCTCTTTTTTGCTTTCCTTAAAATAGACAATTTATTAGAGTATAACTTGTAGTGGTGATAGTCCAAGGTCAAGTACCTCGAACGATTTGATTTACTCCCAACAACCTAGTCACCTCGATATCAGGAAATAACAAGTTTAGTAGAGTTCGAATTCGTCCTCTTTGCTCATGTTATACAATAACTCCGTATATGCACAGATTTTTCAAGAGAGTTTCTTATGATCACGAGTTTCTTACGATCACTGACAAATATAATCCTGATTGTATATGAAAAACAACACGTGGATGCCCCTTTGAAGGTTATAAATACCCACCAACAGTCCTCCTCAAAAGATAATTGAAACTGAACTCAAGTTCAGCTCTTGATTCATACATAGTAGCTCTGATTATTGTTTACTTAGACATCGAAGTGTCTACCTGAGAACCCACATCGAGGGTTTATAGATTGGCTGAAATGAAAATCCGAGTTTAAGAGTACTTTGGAGTTCTTTTGTAACTACACAACTAAGGGGGAAGAGAAATGAAGTGGGGAAGAGGTTAAGGGGTTTAAGCACATACCCTAAACTTGTGAATCTCGCATAAGGCCAATCGCTACTATTGCTCTTGTAACATAAATTTCAACTTAACCAAAATCTTTATGAACGAAGGAAAAAGTTTAGTGATTATTAAAAACCAAAAAAACAAATTGATTTCATTCAAAAAAAAAAAAAATACTTGGAGCCGTTCAAATCAAAACCCCATCAATAATGACAAAGATTACAACACACACTTGGGAGACAAGAAGTGGAATTTCAACTAAATTTCTATGTTAATTGTTAGCTGAATATTTTGAGTTGTTGACAATTAAAGATGACCCTTGTGGTACATGTGGAATTTCAGACATCTTCTGTATAGAAATGGACAGGAGATCGGAAGCTTCGCCAATTGGACAAAGGATCGATGAAAGTATGTGGGGTTGCGTTAATACAATGCAATGAAAATGTGGCATGTTTTTTGTTTACACATTATTGGTTTGTCCCTTCTTTTATTCCATCCGTGATGCTAGCAGAGTTTCATTTATTCAAAATCTGTCGATACATTTCAATCTCAAAGGAAAATGACAGTTGATCAAAAAAATGGGTTGGTTAGCGAAATGTAAAGATTCTCTTTCCTTTGTTGTAAGTTTCATAATTTAGTGGGCATCCACAATGCTACATTTTTTTCCTTCTTTTTTTTTTCCCCTATCTTTTTAGACAAATACAGAGCATTTGCTTGGGGTCGATCTGTTTGAGATTGAATGCAATTTTTTTTTTTTGTTGTTGTAAGATTGTAAATGAGAAATAAAGCTTTCATATTCTTTTATTTATCTCACTCACATATTTATGATTCAAACTTAAAATTCACTTATTTTATTTTAAAAAAATACTTCTAAATTACTTAGATATTTAGTAGATTGTATGTAATGTTATGCAAATAAGTAATATATGTTTCAATTCAATTCATATAATCAAAAGGAAATCATAAATAAGAAGTTATGGATTATTCTTCTCTCCCTCTATATAAAACGAAAGAAGGATTGTTTATAAATTTACATAAAATCCCAGAAATGAATGAACCGTCCACACAAATAGCCATGCGGAGATGAGGAGAATTGACCGAAGGCCTTGAAAAGCTAGCCGGAATTTAGGATACAAGTTCTTTAAAAAATTCAAAGATGAAATAATATCACTATCTTCTCAAACCTGAACATGAGCGCATGAGGAATGCCTCTCAAACTAAACTTGGGTCTTTTTTTTTTTTTTCAAAAAAAAAAGACATGCTTGATGTCCTCAGATATACTTTCCTCTCTTCATTTTCCAACTAGGATAGTCTTCTTGGCTGCTCCAATCCCCTTAAACAAGGTTTAGACCAATTATATCCAAATTCCCTGTTGTAGAATTGGAAATTTAACTCTAATTAACACTAAAACAAACACGAATAGGGACTAAATTAACATACTCAAAATTGAGAAAAAATATAAACGTCATATAAGTAATCATTTAATGAAATGTTACTTATTACATGCATTAAACTAATTCTAGCCAGAAAAGGAATAGTATTTTACAGAAATTCAAAAACTTGAAGTCCATTACATGAAACAAAATTGTTGAAGTGCGTACATGAACTAATTCGACTACTGGAATGACAAAAATAATCTTAATCTACTGGAAATTGTGTTGAAATTCAACATCTATAAGCAAAAGTTTGCAATTCTACTGGAAACTGTGTTGAAATTCAACATTTATAAGCAAAAGTGAGCAATTGCAAAGAAATTGAAAATCTGAAAATTTGCAGGTTATGTGTAGGGGTTGTTCGTGTCTTGAATGATTGAAATTTTCTCTTTTGTTCTCCTCTTCTCCAGCTACATACCTCTCACTTCCTGTCGTTACACAAATTGTGGATAGTTTCTTGAAGAAGTGTGGATATCTCAACAATTGATAGGATTAGATTCCCTCTCAGATTTTGTCACATATCCTATTATTTGATAACTCACACCCATAATTGAAACTACTTCCTGAATCTTTGTTAGAATAGACCCAATTTAACTTAAAAAGGTAATTAAAATATAAACTCTTATCTTTTTACCTCTTTCTTTCCTATATGGTAGCTGATTTGTCATAGGGTCCAAAATTGTATATTTGACATGGTTAAATTTCTTCATTCGTTTAAAAACTTTTGATATGTGATATGATTTTAAGTTTTTACAATTTATAGTGTAAACAAAAATGGGAAAGGGTAGCTTATTTAACTCTGATCAGCAAGAACAAGAAGATAGCATTTTCGACTGTCACATAAAAGAGGTGCATCATGTGTTTGAATCATTAATAATAAAAAGGTAAAAATATGATATAAGGACCCAAACTTACACCAAATTTGCAATTTCAGAACCAAAATTTAATTACGCTCAATTAAGGTCTCAAATTACATGAAATTCTCAAATATTGTCCCAATTGGATGGAATATTCTCCTATCAACAAATATCTTAGATGCTTGTTAACAATCCGTCACTCTCTCAACCAACTAGATCATCACATGGAAAAAGACAGTGATTGGTACACCCAGTATTTCAACACTCGATTCAACACCCTCTGGGTTAATCATTAAAAATCACTATTTTTTAACCTAAAATTAAAAACAGACAAGTATAATGATACAATTATGCACACAGAATACAGAAACCGACTGAATTGACTGTATTTATATTGTATTTTTAATTATTAAATCGAAAGATGTTGAATCGGGTGTTGAAAAATTGAGTGTACCAATTATTTCCCCATAGAAAAACATGCTAATTTGTCATTACCATGTGGATGCCAATGTGGTTCCTAGTTAATTTTGAGGGAAATCAAGCTAAGGAGAATCCATGTAGCACCACGTGGCAATGACATGTCAGCATGTTTTTCATGTTGACAATCTAGTTGTCTGAATAGTTAACAGCATCCAAGACATTTGGCGGTAAGAGAATATTCCATCCAATTGGGATTTTGTTTAAGAATTTCATATAGTTCGAAATTTTAATTGAACGCAATTGAAGTTTAGGTTTAGAATTGAGAATTTTGTATAAGTTCGAGACCTTTTTCCATATTTTTGTCTAATAAAATTAGATGAAAGGGTATATATAGCTAATAAACTGATGAGCATGCGAAAGGACTATCATTGTTCTGCATATGTTTAGCAATTAATTAGAACATGCATGAAAAACATGCTGTAAAGGAAAAAGGGGAAATAGCTGGCATGGATCCAATCGAGCATATTTTTAACGATATGCACACAATCAGGTTGCATCTTGTGTGGCTTTATAATTGTGTTTTCCTTCATCCTATAGAGGATAAAGAAAAACCAAAAATAAATTAATGAGAGGGAAAGTAAAATTTAGTTTCATAGAATTAATCCTTCAGAAGTGCTCCAGTCATGAATGGTGCCTCATGTGGAGCAGCAGCCTCATGGGTAGCTGTGGTGTTGAACGATACAGACATCTTTCTTGAACTGCATACCATTTCATGACCTTGGCTATAGTATAACAGATATGAATTAGCGCTGCTCCACTTATGTGCATTCTGAGTTCCCCAGTTTACTTGATTATATGTACAGGAAATGTTGATCAAGCATATTCAAGTTCTGCTTCTCTCCCCGTGTATTTCCAAATTTTCTACTGGTTCTAAATTTTTGATACATGGAGCAAGTCTAGTAGTATTCTGGTTTATAAAAGAAAATAGACTTGATTTTCTCCAATTCTCCATATTTTGCATAAATGTTATCTTTTTGAGGATGGTCTTGATAAGCTATATAAAATTTATGAACTCTTCCATACACAGCTATCCAACTCAACATTTCCATGAGCCCTGCGTGCTCCCAACAAGGCCTCTAGACTATTTCACTAGGCTCACTAGGGATCTTTCTTAGAAACTCCATAGCATCATTCTAAACAACCTACACAACCTATATGAGATTAACAATACAAGCATAATGTTCCTTCTCTGGCACCAGACCATATCTTTTCTACAAAAGTTGAAAATAATATAGGCCTTCCTCCAGCACACCTCCTTGATGGCAAGCAAAAAGAACATAAAAATGTGACAACTTTTCCATCCTACTGAAGATTTCAAGGGCTTGCTCGGAAAGGGACCATGTTTAGCGTAACCTGATATTATAGTGCTTTCCAGGTTTCAGTATCAGGGTCTGAAATCCTTTAAAAACTGTCCCAGCCTCAACTGTACGTCCATGTTTTGCATACATGTGAATCAGAGGATTAAATTTTGAGTCAAAAATAGATTTTCATTACAAACAGACCCACATTTTGAGTACACATCAACCAGAGCAGTTCCTAAAGCACATTAGACTCCAAATATAATTCAAGGACAAAGCATATAAGTTGATATAATGCAGTTCAGGAAGGATAAAGTATTGTGGCATTGATATAAGTTGTTACTAGTAAATTGATATATACGACGGATGGCAATTTGGCAATTGATACAGACTGGGTATTTTTTGTAGTGCTGGAGATGATGCATATATTCCAACATTTATTCTTTGAGTGTGAGTTTGCTATACAAATCTGGAGTGAAGTTCTTTTGAGATATG